TATTGTATGCGGTAGGTGGTCATGATGGTCCTTTGGTAAGAAAAAGTGTTGAAGTGTTTGATCCCGTCGCCAGTACGTGGAAGCAGGTTGCAGACATGAACATGTGCAGAAGAAATGCAGGTATACACAACAATTACTTTAAAATAGTGGTAATATCATTTGGTGTAAATAGCATGTTCCTGGGTTTCTGCTGCTTTCATGATGCCGCAGAATGGAAACCATACTTTTAAGGGGTGAACAAGCCGATTGCTAATTTTCATCTTGGTTTCCTGTCTTCTTTTTAGGTGTGTGTGCTGTAAATGGTCTCTTGTATGTAGTTGGGGGAGATGATGGTTCCTGTAATTTATCAACAGTGGAATATTATAATCCAACAACTGATAAATGGACAGTTGTGTCATCTTGTATGAGTACAGGAAGAAGCTATGCAGGTAATGTGTATAGATATTTAACAGACTCTGCAGTATAACAGCTAGGATTAGAAATTTGACACAGCATCCAAACAAAGTCCTGTCTAAGGTAAAACCTAAGATACTAGAATGCGTATGAAGAATCTGATGGTATGTTTTGAATGGTGACTTCAAACAGTTGTTCACTACAAGGAAAAAATGGTATTGAACTGTACTCAAGAGGGATTTAGCACGTAAGTGGTGAGTCAGAAAGATGATTCTGGTATGACCAATCCTCTTTTTAACAAGAGATTTGTGTCTCAATTTCTGAGGATCCAATTCTGAAGTTCTTTGGGATTTGAGATTTAGAGAACAAGAGCCGTTTCAGGAATCTTTTCCTTCAATAATTGCAGTTTCTCAAATGAGTTATTTAAGTGAATGTTAAGGACATATTTCACTGATAACAAAATTAAATGAGTAATGGCAAATTTTTTCAAGTCATAGAAACTTTCAGAACTTTGCACTGATTCAGACAACTTTGTCAAAGAGAAATTAAGGGAAATATGAACAGTGGTGCTGGTGCACAGTTTTTTGATGTTATACTAGTTGCAAGGTATTATCTTAAAACTTAGTCTTGACTTTTTTTTAAATACTACAAGATTTATGCGTGTGTTTTCCTCACTTTAGGTGTTACAGTTATTGACAAACCATTATGATCAGTAAAGGGATTTTCAACTTGATTATGCACTAGAAGCAGCCTTCAACAAGTGTATTTGAAGTGACTGAGTATCTAAGCACTTCTCTACTTGTAGCTGCACCTTGAGTCACAGTGGAAGATGTGACAGTCTACAATTACAGATGACAGATGATGAAGATTACTCTAGGTAGAAGCAATGCATAGGATTATTCTGCAGCTGAGCAGAAGGTGATTGAATTTTTGAAGTCTAGTGGACCATTTCTTTTTTACCGCAAGGTCTTCAAAAAAAAAAAAAAGGCAAGCCACTTTCATAAGGACCGACTTATGTCAGTCATGACTGAGAAACGGATTGTCAGTGAAGAATGGTGTGTATTCTGGTGAAAGTAAATTTTTGTCTTATTTTTTCCAGAGACTAATAAATATATTTAAAGAAATGAACTGTCAGTCTTCATAGTAGATATTGAATCCCACCTCAGTAATTCAAGCTGGCATGGGGTAAATGTTACCTTTTATAAAACTTTTGTTACATAACTATAATATGTGCATATGTTTGTGTGAGCATAAGTTGCTTTCTATTGAAATACTTCAAAACCTGATTTTACTATTTATAATTTGGCACAGTTCTTTGAATATGCCAGTACTATGTTGTAAAACAGAGTTGTATTTTTTGATATGTAACAATGCTTAACACTACTAATTCCCACTGAAGGAGAGATCAGAGATGGTATAACACTTCTTGAACAGGTGTAATTTCAAGATCTTTTTAATAAAAATATTGTCTGTACTTATGATTTTTTTTTTTCTGTTCAATTTTGGTCACATTTAGATGTTACTTCTTTCTTACCTTTTTATCCAAAAGGTGATTTGGCATGAAAATAACTGAAAATTTATAATGAATGTATGAAACTGCGTTCAACTTGCATGGTACTAAGGCCTATTTATGCGTGTAACCTTAGCTTCTATTAGCTAATATCTGAATATACTGTATGTGGCCATGCTTATAAAGCAGCTCATTTTTATTCGTTCTTGGATGGCCTCCTTTTAACATGACCAAAGTTATTGTCATATTTGAGAGATTTTCTTCAAATAAAAGTTTGTATATTGTTTCCTAATGCCAACAAGTCGCTTAAAACTTGTGTTTCTCAATGCAAGTCTCAAACCAAATAACCTTGACATCGGTGAAGAAATTTCTTTTTTTTTTTTTTGGGGGGGGGGGGAGGGAGGGGGAAGTGGAAGCTGGTGTTCTAAAGGTCTGAATGCAAGCAAATAGAAAAGAATTATTAAAGTTTAGGAACTGGTCATGTAAGTATCACTGGTTTGCTGTAGGTTTGTTTCTGAAAGCTTTGGTTTTCGGGTAGTTAAGGTAGTGGCCACCTCTAAGTTCCAGTGAAATTATTTGAGCTGTGAAATTAGTACGATGGCAGAGAATACCACACTTTTTTTGGCAGATGCTGAAATTAAATGGATGATTGCAGTTTACTGTTGGTACTGTACGATGCATTGTGGGTTTGTGTAGAGGGCTTCACTAGAAACATTTTATTTGAATTGTACATTTGTATTATTTGTAGAATTTTACTTGCATGATACCAAACTCGATGAATGGGGTTCTGGTCCGTTGCTACTCGGCCACACCCTTGTATTTCAAATCTGATGGCACGTGGGCACCACCCGTCCCCTGCAGCCGCGGGCAGCGCTGTCAGGGCCGAGGCTGCGTGCACAAACCGGAGCGCCGCTCCTCCCCGAAACAGAGAAGACGACCCTCTTGCTAAAACGATGCCTCAGGAGCAGCGCGGGTAGAGCTAACGGACCGCGGGGTCTCCTGTCCGGAACGAGCCGCCGTGGGCCGCGCTCTGACTCCTCCCCCCCTCCTCCTCC